GAAGACTATGCAGCTCTGGGTGAGATAGAAGAGCCTGAACCCCAAACAAGACCAAAATTATGTTCATTCATTGCAGGACCCTGACATTTGTAATTGTGTCCCTTGATGGAGTGGCACTGACCTTGAAGGAGCAGATATGTGATTTGGAAGTTATCCTGGACTCACAGCTACTGATGGATAGGGAGGTAGAGACTGTACTCCAGAAAGTTTTAGCCCACCAGGGAAATTATTCTGTTAAGAAATATATCTGATAGCAGGTTTGTTGTACAATTCCTAACCCCTTCCTTTAAAAAAAAAAATACAGATCTTGTCACATTGGGAATATTTGCCTGGTTCCTATAGATTTATTTCATACAATCCCTTAGGTTCCTTCATGTTGTTCCTGAATTTACAGCTCCTATGCAGTTATATTCACTTTGTTTTTCTCTATAAATCAGAGTGGAAATATCTTGATCCTTCAAATACTGAATTCCAAATTCTATTGGCTCCAGCCAATCTGGCCATTTTTTTAAGCATTGTAATCCAAAAGTGTAATCTAGGCTCCCTGTCCTTGATATATACACTTCTTTTTCTTCATCACTTCATTTCTAGGTTTCTACTAAATAACTGTTTCATGCCTCAATTCTTTCAAAACACTTTAGGTATTGTGACCTATATGCATTACAAACCTTTTTACATGCCTAGCTAGAAGGGTTCTGCAGTGTTAAAAAGCATTCAAAAGACCACTGAAAGGTGCCAAAAGTTTATTTGATCTGAAATAAGTTCAGAAACATTGAAGCATCTAATAATAAGTAAAGGATCTGAAAAAGATAAATTATACTGACAAGTTTCTTCCGAGGTAACAGTGATTGGCAAATCTGCTAAAACAGCCAAGAGAGATCAGTCAGAGCAGCAGTAACTGTACAAATGGCACCATCTAAGGGAAGTAGAATGTAATACACATGTCTTGTTTCAAAGGCAGCACTTTCTGCAGTCATTCACTAAAACACAGAGACCAGCTTGGATTTCAAATAATGTAAATCATCCACGGCACTTCATATTTTTCACGCTGTGTAAAGGTTCCCTTTTATTTTAAGCGCAAACTGCCTAAAGAATGAAATTGGCCTTTGATGCACTTTCTCTATAAATGAATAAATGTATGCCCTAAAAATTACCAGGATTAATAAAGTAGTGCATCATTATTAAAGATGAGCTTCATGGTGAACACATGGGCCATGTACAAGCTGAGTCCTAGGACAAAATTCAAGCTGCCATGTATTCCACAACTCTGCTAGATAAAAAAAATAAAATTTATTTTTTCATTACAAATCATAGTTACACTATAGAGCCATAAAGAAAAAGAGTAAGGGAAACAAATTGCTAACTATGGGAGATATAAAGCTTATTTAATATGCACTGACCTGTATTTTCCTGTCCGTACTTGTACAGCTCTCATTCCACATTGCTGGGCTCCTCCTACATCGTTTACAATATCGTCTCCAATCATGATGGCCTGTCACAGCAATGAAATACAAACAGACATGAAGTCAAATGCATTTGAGTCCCACCCTACTTCATCTTCCTTGACATAATAAACTGCTTGACTTGATATTTAATAGAGCTATCATACAAATTAAACAAGTTGCTATTGTCAAAGTACTGATTTAAAGTTAATCCACATAATTATACTTCATTCTCTACCCACAAAGCTATAGAGTTGAGCACTGATATTTCAAGCGGTCTGAAAGCCATCAGAAAAACTCAATAGTTGTTTTTTTGTTTTTTGACACATTGCAAAGGGGGAAGTTAATACTTCAAGACAATTCCTCCATTGCAAACTATAAAGGGTAAATCCCATAACTTACTGTAATTCATTTCTTCCCTTTCCTCTATCCTCTCCTTTAATCTCTATTCCTGTACCACCAATTCTTATAGGTTCCTGTAGGTGGGATGGCTCAGTGGTTAAAGATGCTGAACTTGTCAGCTGGAAAGATGACAGCCCAGGTTCTAGCCCCAAGCATCACGCAATGGGGTGAGCTCCCATTTCTGGCCCAACTCCTGCCCATCTAGCAATTCAAAAGCATGCAAACATGAGTAGATTAACAGGTACCATTATGGTGGGAAAATCAACAGCATTACATATGCCTTCGGCATATAGCCATGCCGGCCATGCTAGCCATACTCCTCAAGATGATGAAGAAGGGGAAGCAAAAATACAACCAGCCATCTTTCAGGAAGAAGTTGTGTGTGCGATGATCCAACTACCAAACAAGGCCCCACACTGTTGCTGCAGAAATGTTGAGGGCTGTACCACCAGCACAGGTACACAACCATCACAGCCTTGTACCAGAAAATTTGGGAAACAAATAAATGACCACAGGATTGGAAACAATCAGTGTTCAATCCCTTTCCAAAAAAGGACAACATCAGGGATTGCTCCAATTTCTACACATGCTCATACAATAACATTTGGTACCAACCATCATAAGAGACTTATCAGATGTTCAAGCTGGCTTCAGAAAGGGACATGGCACTCGTGACCATACTGCAAATCTATGCTGGATCATGGACAAATCTCAAGAATATAAAAGATTATCCATAGTGCTTTATTGACTACAAGGAAACTTTTGATTCTGTCAATCATGACAAGCTATGTAGAACTCTATAGATGCCAACACACCTAATCAAGTTGGTGTAGTTGCTGTACACAAATAAGGTAGACACTGTGTGAGCATCATATGGAGACACTGATTGGTTCAAGATACAGAAAGGAGTGTGGCAAGGTTGCATTCTTTCACCATTCTTATTCAACCATATGCTGGAGTGATCTCGAGGAAGTGGAACTTGAAGAATCAAAACTGGAGTAGAGATTGGAGGCAGAAACATCAACAATTTTTGATATGCTGATGACATAATTCTCCTCTCAGAAACCAAAGAAAGCCTCAAACATCTTGTCAAAAGAATTAAAGAAGTTAATGAGAAATTTGGCCTCTTCCTAAACACTGCAAGGAATGGAAATACTATAACAATTGATGGTGAAGAAACTGAATACGTACAACGTCATTTTCCAAGTTCTGCAGTTCACTTGCAGACTGATCAAAACAGGGATTACAGTCCAAAATGTCAAATTGCACTGGGTTACAGAGAAAAAATGAGCATGAATTGAGTATGAAAAAACAAGGACATCAGCCTGGCAACTAAATGCAGATTAGTCTACCCTATCATGTTTCACATAACTTATTTTATCATCATTATATTTACAAAAACTAGACATGGAAAGTAACTAAAGGTCTTTCATATAGATAACCATCTTAAATCAATAGATATTTAAGCTACCTACATGTAGTCCTCAACTTATGATAATTAGGACTAGAATTTCCACTGCTAAGCAAGATAGTGGTTAAGTGATTTTGCCATCTTTTTTGCCACATTCGTTAAGCAAATCACTGCAGTTAAGTGAATCGTGCTGTTGTTAAGCAAAACCAGTTTCCTCCATTGACTTTGCTTGTTGGAAGCTAGCAGGGAAGGTTGCAAATAGCAATTACATGACTCTGGGACACTACAACTGATTGTCAGGCATCCAGATTTTGGACCACATAAACCAGGAATGTCAAACTCACAGCCCATGGGCCAAATCTGTCATGCACTGGCCACACCCAGTTTAGCGAAGGGGAGAAAAGATGTGATACATCAGGTGATGACGTGTCATCACGAGTTTGGCAGCCCTGAGATAAATTATGGGATGCTGCAACAGTTGTAAGTATGAGGACTAGTTGTAAGTCCTTTTATTTAGTGCTGTTGTAAGTTTAAATGATTAGTTGTAAGTCGAGGACTGCCTGTATTAATTTGATTTCTTGGAGCAGATTTTAAAGTTACTTGAAAAATAACAGATCTCTAAAACATAAATAGTTTCAGCAAGTTCCTTTTTTTCATTGTCCACTGTGCTGGCTGCTTAAGGAAACCAACATCTAAGTAGATAAATCTGTTGAAGCTGCAGTACAGACATTTCAAATTCAATTAATTCTGGAAGCCAAGTTAGATTTGTGTGGTCTGCTGAATTGACTTAGGAGGATCTGCTAATATTCCTTTATGGCTTTTCTATTAAGGGTTTATAGAAATAGTTTTCTTCTAATTTATAAAACCCCTGTGGAAGATTAATATGAGACAGGAAAGCAGATAAGGAGGCTTCTAGAGGAATCAAGTCTTTCATGCTGCAGTTAAGAAGGTGCAAGCATAAGAGTAAAATGTTTCATTTTGTTTATAGAGAAGTTTTCGTGTAAGAAGGCCATCCACACTGAAAGTGCGGCTGCACTTGAGCAGTAGAGCCTATCCAAGCCAGCTTGTGGTAGACGCATACAAAAATGTCCTCCAGCCTCCTGGGATTTCACAGATTTACTATCGGTGAAGGGCAATAATCACTAAAGGAGGAGCAATTATTCCCAAATCATTTAGGATTTAAAAAAATCATTGCCAAGAAGATAGAGGTCAAGAGGTGCACTGTCAGGGGAAATAAAAAAACTCTACCTGTCAAACCTAGGTTTAACTTCTTCTCTGGCAGCAAGATAGGAAGCAAAAAGAAGAGAAAGGAAGGAAGGAGAAACAGAAAAGATAAAACTGAAAAGGTCACCTACTTGCTGAAGGCAAAAATTCAACTCTGTCAACACATTTTATACAGAGACAACAGAGATTTCTGACAAACTTATTAATTATGAAATTATGAAAAAGTGGAATGTGTGCTAATCAATGATAGCGGTAAAGAAATAATTTATAACCTCTGTTATTGTGAGGAAAATTGTACTGAAAACTGAAGAACTAAAAGGTGAATTATAAAACAAATAACACAACTATATGCGTCTACATACTCAAAAGTAAGTCTCCCTGAGTTCACTGGGACATATATGTAAGATTGAACTCTAAAACACAGACATGCATTATCTTTAAGACTGTGGTCATTGTAAAATCACTAGATTCTTATTTTTCTTTTTTCTTTTTACACCAAAATAGTCTCATTTAGATAAAGGAAGAAGGTGAAAAAAGCAGTCCTCAGACTATTCATTTCTGAAATTACAAACCTTTTTCACCAATGGGTGAGACCAAACGTATGCTGACTGATAAAATCAGTAGGTTTGGTCTAGTGATTAAGGTACCAGGCTACAAAGTGAGAGATCATGAGTTAAAAGTCTTGCCTTAACCATGAAAGCCAGCTAGGTGACCTTGGGCCAGTCACACTTTCTCAGCCCAAACCACTTCAGAGGGTTGTTGTTGTGGAGAAATAGAAGGAAGACAGTATGTTGGATCTGAGGGACCGTCTCTTGCCTGTCACATCTATCCGACCCACCAGAGTGGGGAGGCAAGAAATGTTGCGGGTCTCATCCCTAGAGCCTAGGGAGATACACCTGGTAGGATCCAGAAGAAGGGCCTTCTCTGTAGTGGCTCCCTTTCTCTGGAACATCATTCCCTCAGAGATTAGAATGGCCCTCACTCTACCATTTCCGGAAAGTACTGAAGACCTGGTTTTGCCAGTGTGCCTGGGGAACACAGAGCAGGATGGAGCCCATTAAATAGCTTGTATGATGTGTTGTTGCCAGGGCGGGGGGTGGGTGGGTTATTTTATTAGATATGATTCTCTATTTTATTAGTTTTATTGTTTTTTATATGATGTTTTTATATTCTTGTAGGTGGCAATATAAATCTAATAAATAAATAAATATGTTCACTGCCTTGAATTGGGAGGGAGGGAGGGAGGGAGGAAGGAAGGAAGGAAGGAAGGAAGGAAGACTGGAATAAGCAGTTAAAAATTATATGTTGTTCAAAACCTTACTATTGCTTAGCTAAGCACACTTTCCTAGGCTCTTTTATGTACACATTATAGTTCCTCTGAATCAATGTCGACCCTTGGCAACTGTCTGGATAAATCCTTGCAATTTTCTTGGCAAGATTTTGAAAGAGGTTTGCCAATGCCTTCTTCCCAGGGCTGAGAAAAAGGTTTTCATGCTCAAAGCAGAACTAGAACTCATGGATTACTGATTTCTAACCTGATGCCTTAAACACTACTCCAAATTTAGCAGCAATTGTAAAATTTCAATTAAGAAAATACCTCAGGAGGGAAATAAGAATGGGAAAAAAATATTCTACGGCATTTTCTTTAACATCTCAAATGCTAAACAGTTTAACAATGTAGAAGAGCTCCATTTTTGTGTATGAAAAATGGTTGCCCAGCTGGAGAAGTGGAGGGGTATAAGTTGATCATTTTTTATCCTTCAATTATTGTGATGCAATATTTATTTTCTGTGACAATTAAGTCTCAAGCTTTATCCAAGGTGACTGAAAATGACTTTCATCATCACAATTGTTCTGTGAGAAAGGATAAATATAAGATATGGAAGAAAGAACATTAAGAGCTATATTGCTACACTGTGTTGTCAAGGTGAGTTTCCCATGCTCTAGCCCAAACTGTAACATGCAGAGATATGCTAAAATTTGGTCATATCAATGCTCAAGCAGCAGAGCTGT